TGCACAGGTCACCCAATAATGCACAGAACACCCAACACAAATTAGGAGTTGCGTTCTCGTACCTCGAACGCAAAAATAACGCAGTTCTGCCTACCGGCTGCAATTTAATTCAAACTCTTATTTATGCATTTGGAAATGTCTCTTATGGACGGGCTACTGACTCAAACGCGTGAACTCGAATGATACTGAAATAGCCTTAACATTAAGACGATCCAGGTCTTTACTACAATATAATTACCTGTGCAGTCAACTCCGTTCCCAGAATACCCTGGCTTGCAAGTACACTCGAAAGATCCTTCAGTGTTATTACAGTCTGCATTGGCGTCACAGTTGTGTTCTCCTGTTATACACTCGTTTCCGTCTGCAAATCAGGTGTAGGATTGAATCATCAAAACTGATTTAATTAACCTTTTATTTTCTAGGATTGGGTATGGTCGGTAGAGAGAGAGAGACAGACAGACAGTCAGACAGACAGACAGAGACAGAGAGAGTGAGTTTTCTTGCTATACTGAAAAGCAAAAACATTATTGCTATATATTGGGGCGGTGAGTGATTGAACAAATCACATTACATGTTTAGATCGAGAATGAGCGAAACCTAATGAAGCAAGATACTGAAGCATTCAGAATGCGTGTGCGGACATGACAATCTTGAATGGGGACAATTATAATACATTAAAAAACTTAAAGATCTCGAGCATGTTAATTTTAAGGCAAAGACTGCATTCAGATACTGCAAATCACAAACTATAGCAGTATGCAAGGGCATTTCGACACTTATTATTCAGCTTAAAAGAACAAACTGAGCCTCTAGGCACTAAGCAGCTTACTACCTTGTGGCTGAACTTGGGTTTAATGCGAGATAAATGGAGTTGATTAGGAAAAGATTATAAATACAACCAAGGTACTGTTATTACCTGTGCAGTTAACTCCATTCTCAAAATACCCTGGCTTGCAGAAGCACAGAAAAGATCCTTCAATGTTTCGGCAATTAGCGTTTGCATCACAGTTGTGCTTTCCCGCTTCACACTCATTTATATCTGCAATTAAGAAGTCAGGCACTGAATAAACTGATTAAGTTTTTCTTTCACGGTAGATAACTGTGGCCTACCATAATAGCCATTTTATGCGATCAATATTTCAATATTATTTTCCGAGATCCAAAAACCTTCATTATCTAACCGAGGTCTTTCTTACACCTTTCCCCTTTGAAATTAATTTTCTTAGCAAAAGGCTTCGCACTTCGCATCGTTTTAAGACAGAAGCTCGCGTGAAGTCGAAAATGGACTATAAGAATTACAACAAAATACCTGCCTTATTATAGGAATTTGATGCTCTATAATACTAAAAGGTATTATGGAAATTAACGCGACTTAAATTAAGGCGAATGTAGTGGAAAACGACTTTCGAACAGAGGAAATTAAGTGATGTGAAAGAGACGTGGCTACGAAGTATCTCAGTGATTGTCTCAAATGAGGGATCTTTAAGTGTTACCTGTACATTTATTTTCTCCATTTTTAGAATAACCTTCCCCGCAAGCTCATCCGCGTTTGTATTTTTTTGGTTCAGCCTGAGCTTTAAAGATATTGTGAACTTCTACCGTACAGTAATAAGACCCGTACTAGAATATTGCTCGCCGATTTTCCAACATAACCTAACCGACTATCTAAGTGAGTGTGTACATAAAAGAGCGCTGTCCATAATGGCGCCTGATAAATCATACGAACACTATTAACTTCAGTTTTGGTCTCAGCTCTTTATGATAGGTGTAACGATCAGTGTATTAATTAAGCTGTTTAATAGTATATCCTCGGACAGGCACAAACTCGCTTGCCTACTTTCTCCGAACCACGAAGGCTACTACCATACCAGACATGAGAGATCGAGTTTACGACTTGTCCCCGCTCTCGCACAAACCGCTTCAAAAAGTCCTTCATACCAGTCATGTGCGGTCGTGCGAACATGTTATTATAATGTCAGTTTATGTCTTATTACATTATTTTTCTTTTCTTTTTCCTAATTAAGGTCTCGGTAAATGAAAATTTTACTACATTGCTCGATTTTGTTTTTTCTTTTTGATTTTTGGCATGAGTGGGTCCTAAATTTTATTTTGGCAGAAAAAGAAAATCAGAAAGTGCTTTTTAACTCTAAAATGAGCCTTTTCTGTTTCCCGCCATAAGTTGCGCGCGAAAAGTGATTGACAGCCCCTGTCTATTGCGTGACACTCACTCTATTTTAGACGCAAAAATCAAAATTCTCCGACCTCCAGTCAGGACAGGTTTTAAGCTATCGCTTTGAAACTTTCAGATATGATGGATAAAGATATAGACTCAAAAAGGGTGTGAGGAATTTTCCAATTTCCCTTTATAACTCATTTTATGTCAGCTTCTTTGCGTAAATCACGCTCGAGATTCGACTTTTTAGTTTGAGATGCAATAATTCCGCTAATACGAGACATATGCAAATTTTCTTAAACCCTTTTTTAGGTCTTTTATCTGTCAATCAGATGCAATAAAAAGGAAGTGAATATTTAACAACGCGAAAGGGCTGGAGCTTCAGCAGTAAACTCGATACCTCTGAGTTCGAGAGCAAAAAACTTAACCGCCTTTTAAAATTCGATAAAATAAAATCTTCTAGAAGGTAATTTAGTCTTTTAGCTTTAATTTGATATATAACTTGCCTTTGTAGCGAAAATAGTCGCGCGACTAGAATTTTTTTCTGTGGGCACCTCGTTTTCCTTTACCGAGACCTTAACAAAATGGTAATTAGCCTTTTGCCATTATTTTATACCTTTTATGGTGTTGTAAATAATTAAGCAATTTAGCCTACCGGCTGCAATTTGATTATTTTGTTCAACCGATCTATCTATCTACCTTTACTGGAGGAAGTACGGCCTTCAGTGGATTGATCAGATGTAAGGTCGATCGAGCTGTATTGGGTCACAACAGACTGGGGATAACATCCTCTTCACTCTACATAATTCTTCACATCCTACTTACCCTCATTAAGTAATTGCTAATTATGACAACGATCACTTTGTCGATGACGCTAGACTTCAATCTTTTATTTGTGCATTTGGAAATGTCTCTTATAGATTCTACTGACTCAAATGCGTGAACTCGAGACAAATGATACTGAACAAGACGCTACGGAGCGTACACTTCGGCGTCGTGGTTGTGGAACTGATTAATTGTAAATGCGGAGGAATAGTAAGAAATGAAATATGGTAAGAGTAAGGTGTTAATTTTTGAAATTATGGGATTTGTCAGGATATTCTGAAAAGAGCAACATCCAAGAGGCCTACTTGCCAAAAACTAGCATTTCGGGACAAATTGTCTCTGAAATATTAGCCCAGTTATGCTCTGATGACTCCATACAAATCCTTCTAAATTTGACTTGGGTCTAAACGTTTAGACCTAAGTCTAATATGAGGTTACTGGCGGTGAATAACAAGTCTAAGAAAACAAACAGTGAAAAAAGAATTCTCTATTTTTCTTAGTCACATCAGGCTTCAAAAACAGCATAGCAGTCTCATGTACTGATTAAAGATATGTAAGGCATGGGTAAGGAGTCAATTACGTTGAGCATGGAATTGGCTGTTACGAGTTCGAATGTTTTGAGGATAATCATTCACTAACTATCAGCACGCAGGAATGTCGGATTAATGCACCTATCAATGTAAATCCCGTTGGGGGAGTGCAGGCAAGGGGCGGGGATTTGATGCCTGAGACTATCCCCCCTGTCGGGCTTTTGATCGTGCGAAGCGACCCCGGGGTCGGGACATTTGACTTTGACCGACAGAAGCTTGGTATCAATTCAGAAGCGGTTACTAAGTCCGTCCCTCGAGGCTTCTGAAAGTCACGCTGTCGGAGAAAGGTACGAAGTTTTCATTTGTTTTAATCGCCATAATCCGATACTTTAAACTGTCATCTAAACAGATAATGTCTATTTTGAGAAAGTTTTTATCTTCAAGTGCCCATCTGATTGTAAAACTCGCTTGAAATCGAATTCCACCATGAAATTCAGAGCATTGTACGTTTCATTAGCATTATAATAGCACGGTCAGTCTTCCTGGAGAGATTTTGTTGTTCAAAATAAGAGATGCTAGTGGAGAGAGAAAATATTTAATTACAGCGAGTAATTTAACGGAGCTTATGTTAACCTTAAACAAAAGTAGTAAGAACGTTCTTTTGAAATATTCTTTTAATTCGTTTTATATAGTGTTATAGCATTGTTCGTTTAGATTTTTTCCCCTGGGGTGGGGGCTTTTTTGACACTTTTGATTGACCTTTCGTTTCCCACCCTGGGGAATTTGATCAAAAAATTTTAAAATTTATCAAATCCCCACTCCTTGCCCGCACCCCCCTCCCACGGGGTTTGCATTGATAGGTGCATAACACAGGGAAGTTCAATACCAAAGGAACATAGCCTTTTCAGAGCTTTAAAACACAGCATCCGCCAACACAAACTTGACTTGAACTTAAGTACAACTAAACAGCCTCTACCAAAAATAGCAATCTCTCACTTGAACTTCAGATATCTTACGGCTTCCGCCAACTTGTAAAATCGGCCTTCGTCACACTTGACTAAACACAGCAGTCCAGCTCGTGGGAAAAAAACTTAGTCTGTCAAAAGACCTCGCTTGGAACTTGTATACCGTTTGACATAAGGTTCTAGAAAATACTAAACGGGCGAATAGTAGTAGCTTTTCGGCATATCTTACGATTTCAGTAACTGATGCAAATCTGCTGACTCATGCTGAAATGTAAACATGCCGTAATTAATTATTCATGAATAATCCAAAAAAGTAGAGAACGTTCGAGACAGTCACGCAACGCATGAAAGCAATTCAACAAAGACAAAAAGTCTTTGTGCAGCATTTTGTAACGTTAAATTCATCATAAAGCAGTTCGAAAGGAGGGCTCACTCGTGAAATGTTTTTCAACACTCGAAGAGAAATTTCTTGTCTCTGCGCGGCCACGTAATATCCTCTATTTATTCCTCGAGTAAATTAAAGACTAAACTCGAAGTGATCAGTAGTCCGGTTTCATTTCGTGAAATAGCCGAAACAAGCCGAAAAGTCGCGAACTTGCACACCCAATCTTGTCCCGAAACTAGTGCATAATTTCATAACTATTTTTCTTATCCCAAACTACCTTGGGTCGCAGTAGCGCAATCGGCTAATCCCTCAACTTAGAATCTCCTCTGATCTGACGGGTCACACAGGTGAGTCGGTTCAAACCCCTGGGGAAGCCAAAATAATAATTCTTTCTTCCTCGAAAAAGTTAAAGAATAAATTAAAGAAATCGAAGTGATCTCGAGATATCTCGAACTAATTCGCCTCTCACTTCGTCAAATAGCCGAATAAAACCGAAAACCTACAGACTTTGCATGCCCAAACTTGTCAAAAAATTGTAACTTTGATACATTCCTGAGCGTCGCGAATCCTTTACTTCGCGCTCCGCCGAAGTAAATAGCCTTAACCCTCGTACGTACGAGAGGGGTGGGGGTGGATACCACCCCCGTAAGGTTTTTCTGAGTTTTTTTTCCCTAGAGGATAAAACATCAGCATGTGACGTTTTCAGTAGCTGTTCGTTCAACCCTTCGCACTTTCTGAGACAAGTTCAGTGATGGTCAGTTGCTATGGTTACGAGATATGACTGTACTGCTAGCTGCGAGTCGCCAAGGTTTCAAATACTGCACATGGTTTATTTCGTCCAAAATGTACAGAAATACAGAAGATATAAAGAATTCGAAATCTACGTAGAGATATCAACAGGAACTACAATCAGTCAAGAAATGTTAAAGCAAACTGTAAATAAGAATAATATTCACGTACCCGTTGGTGTCTCTCAAGTTTCGCAACTAGTAGTAATGATCTTACTAATCAACGATTGTTACGTCATGTCATTAGTCGTGATTATATCACGCATGAATTTCGTGTTATACCGAAACACTCCCCCGCCACTCGAAAAGGAAAGTTACATTAAAAATACAAAATTTATTTCAAGTCCAGTTTCACGTAGAGTATTTCAATTTTAGAAAAATTAGTAGTAGTTCAATTGTTTGTGTCTTTATCTTCTTCCTTTGGTATCAAAACAACCAATTTGTTTACTGCTCGTTCAACGGTAACGAAACCTCTGCCATGGTACTCGTTGACAGCTTCTCCTGGTTTTGGATTTTTGTACTGCACTTGAACTTTCCTTACTCTACCATCTCCTCCAGGAAAGGCTTTAAGCACAGTCCCAAGCTTCCATTGTCCTGTTATCTGGTTTGCGTCTTGGATAAGCACTACATCGCCTTCACGAAGATTTCGCTGTAATCTCTGGTCCACTTCTTCCATAAATAGCTCACGATACTTTGAACGAATTCAAATCTACGGCGGAAATCTGAAGTCTCTCGAAAGGGTCCGCTTGGTACTCTTGATGTCGCTCTTCCTAGCAATAAATCATTGGGACAGAGGTATGTTCCATCATGAGGTGAGGTAGGGTGTCTTCCGATTGGTCTTTCATTCACAAGATTTGCCGCTTCAAAGCAAACAGTCTGCAGTTCGGAAAATGTCAAAACATGATCACTGATTGCTGCTGTTATTGCTCGTTTTATGGACTTGACCAATGCTTCAGAAACTCCGTTTTGCCATGGTGCATCAGCTGGCGCAAAATCCCATTTGAATCCTTCCATCACGCCAAATGTTTTTTGTTCTTCTTGGTTCCAACCCTTAACTACATTTTTCAGTTCTTCGTTTGCGGCGACCAGTTGAGGGCCATTGTCTGAATAAAGTTTGGAGGGGAAACCTCTAATTGATACAAATCTTCTGAGGACCATGAAAAATTTTTCAGTGCTGTAATCCGCGGCTAGATCTACGTGAACGGCACGGGTAGCCAAGCAGTTAAATATCACACCATATGTCTTCCCAATAGTTCTTTTCTTCACCTCGTTTTTAATTTTGAACGGACCAAAGAGATCAATAGCTGTGCAGCTCCATGCAGGTGATGGCTTCAGTCTTTTCACCGGTAACTTTCCCATAATCTGTTCGCTTAATCTCTTGTCTAATTTCTTGCATATCACGCAGTTGTATCGGATGGATTTCACCATTTTCAATAGTTTAATTATCCAGAACTTCGTGCGTATTTTACTGGACGTGGAGAGTACACCGAGATGTCCTTGTCTGTGAATATGTTCAGCATAGAGACGGGAAAATCTATGGTCATAGGGCAACAGGATTACTTCATTTTTATTGTGACTCATCTCAATCCATCTTTCACCTCGTCCTCCAACCACGTATATTCCTTGCTCATTTTTTCTAGGGCATAGACGTTTGTATTTCCCTTTTTTAATGTCTGCGTGCATATTTCTTTGTGCTTCCATAATCCAGAAATGTTCCGCCTTTGTTACATCAAGAGGGATGAGTAGTTTTCCTGCGTTTTTGAATGAAGGTTTTGGTGTTCTTTGGTACAGTAATAATACACGGGCTGTCACTCTTAATATTTTGTCAAAATTTGAGTATCTTTCTATGTTAAGTCTCGAGGCAAGTGTGTCTGTATTATTAATTTGGCAGGTCTGCGTTATATTGTACGCTACTTTGACTTCGTCAGGAAGTTGTTCTTTGGTCAAAGCTTTGTTAATTGGCCATTCACTTTCGGGTAATTCAAGAAAATCGGGTCCCCTTTGCCAAATACTTTCTGAGTTTAGGTCATTTGGTTTTTTGCCGCGAGTTAGCCAGTCTGCGATGTTGTTTTTGCTTTCTGTCCAATACCAATCATCAGGGTTGGTGTTCTGTTGTATCTCCCCTACTCGGGTTGCTGCAAAGGTATTAAATCCATATGATTCCTTTTGAATCATGTTGTGTACTATTTGAGAGTCCACGATTTGATAACACTTCTGAAGCTTATATCTGCAATGTCGTTCTAGAAATGCTTTCAGTCTTGAGTTTAATACAGCCCCACAGAGTTCGATTCTGTCAATTGATAATCTTTTTATTGGCGCGAGTCGGTTTTTTGATAGTATAAGTCTGCATTTGAATTGTCCGTTGTTGAGCTTCCATCTGTAGTATGCACATGCCCCATATGCATGGCTGGATCCGTCGCTAAAGATAATTAATATTGGATCATCTATCGCATTCTCTGGTATTAAACATCTTTTGAATTTAACGTCGTTCATCTCCAGTAGATCTTGGCAGAATTGTTTCCAGTCTCGAGTGTACTTGTCCGGAATAGGGTCGTCCCAGTTTAGCTTCTCTTCCATTCCCCATAACTGTCTCAGTAGAATCTTTGCTCTGACTGTGAAAGGTCCAGCTAATCCGAGAGGATCATAAACGCTGTTTACTTGGGATAAAATTATTCTTTTGGTAGGATTATCTGCATCGATTTCTCCCAGCTTATTTGCATTCGATTGGATACGGGACTTCTTCTTTCCCGTAGCAGTGGTTCTTAACTGAACTTTAAACTCGAAATCGTCTTTAATGGGGTTCCAAACAACTCCTAACACTTTTTCTGTTTGTGATGACACGTCAGTAGGTATTGTCAAGGTCTTAGAGGGTTCTTTACTATCATGGGTGAAGATCCACTCTTTCATTTTAAAACTTCCTTCGTTAAGTAAACTTTCAATATCTTGGGTGAGGTTCTTCGCTTGTTCTTTATCAGCCACACTCTCTATTACGTCGTCCATATAAGTGTTTTCCTCGATTACTTTCGCAGCTTTAGGATATTTGTGTTGTCCCATTTCAGCCGTTTTTCGTAATGCAACAGTGGCGATCGTACCTGATGGCTTATCGCCGAACGAAACTCGTTGTATAACATACGTATCTGGTGGTCGTTTAATGTTCATGTCTCTCCATAAAAATCTATGAGTGTGTTGGTCAATTATCTTTGTCTTTACTGTGTGGTACATTTTCTTTATGTCACCAATCAGTGCTATCTTATTTTCTCTGAGTCTTATGAGTATTCCCAAGAGGTCGTTGAGAAGGTGCGGTCCTTTCGCCCAGTAGTCGTTTAGGGCATGTCCCATGTAGCGTGCACTACTATTGAATACAATTCTTACTGGCGTCGATTTGGAATCTGGTTTCAAGACTTCACGGTGCGAGATATAGTGAATTGGTCCTTTATATTCTTTTAACTCTTTTAGGGTTAGTTTTGTTACGACCTCTCTATCAACCATATCTTTAATTTGTTTTTGATAGACTTCAGCGTGTGTGGCATTTTTCGCTAGTCTTTTTTCTGTCGATATCAACATTCCCATTGCCGCTTTTTTGTTATCGGGTAACTCTGACGGATCTCTGATCCACGGATATTCTGAAATCCACCTCTTCTCTTCCTTGTTGTATTCTAGTTTGTCCTCGACTAGTTTTAGTTCTTTTCCTTCCTTAATTGTGAAGTTTTTACTCCCCAGAGAGCACTTCCCGCATTTACATCCACCACAGCGAGGTCTACATTCTATTCCAAGGTTTTCTATCTTATAGAAATCTTCAATTCTGGCGATTGCGGTATTAACTTTTATTTGGTGGAGTTGGTGGCTTGTGGATTGCTCTCTTATAGTCGGGTGTGCCGCCAATGCATCTCCCAAAGTGATTTCTTGATAATACAAGATGTCCTGAGCTCTGTTCATTCTGGGGGTGATAGCTTGCATATTCGTAACCGATTAATACGTCGACTGTTCCTGATGGTCGTAATATGTCTTCTTTGGAGATGTTATTGAATAATGGCATTATTCCATCTATGTCCACACTTTGTATTTCAGAAGTAATTTTATCGATACCATATACATCGACTTGAACTTCTTGACCTTGTTTGTCAAATAGCGAAAGTTTGTATCTGTTAGACGTGATTTTTTCATTGTTGCCGCCTACTTTAGTTACAGAGAGCTCCACTGTTGTTCCTTTTAAATGTTCAGCTTTTGCTTTGGTGTTTGTGATAAAACAGAGTGATGCTCCACTGTCCCAGAGGACGTTGGCCCATCCGTGCTTTGTAGGAATTTTTTGTAATTGTAATAGACAAGAATCAATCATGGAATTGCTGCATAAGCTAGCTGATCCAGAGGCATCCTCAGTAGGTTTATCAAGTTGATCATCTTGGTGAAGTGTCTCATGGTGCCATTTGGTACACTCGTTTACGCCGCATCGTTTTTTCTTTCTACAATTTAAGGATCTGTGTCCTTTTCGTAAACATGACCAACAAGCTCCATTTTCTTTCAATAGTTTCATTTTTTCTTCAATGGGCTTTGACAGATATAGTTTACAGTCGCTTGTCCAGTGATCTGCGTCTTTGTGTAGTAGACACTTACTGTAAGATTGTTAAGTGTGTCCGCTGCTGCCTTTTTCTGTCTTTTTGCTTGTATTGGTATAGTGTACTGAGCCCTTTACTGTTGGATTGTTGGTAACTCGTAGCTCTGCGATGTCGTATTCGATGGCTCTTTTCTGGCTGAGGAGAAAGCTAAGGAGACTTGGAAATTTGTTGGTTTTGTCTACTGTACTGTTGTCTGCGCTGACCAGTTTGGCCCATTATTTTCTTATTTCAGGAGGCAGTTTTCTCTCGATTATGCTTACTGAGCTGGTTGTAGTGATCTCTCTTTCCAATCCAAGTTTCTTTGGGTCGTTGTATCCGTCCTCTACTGCGTCAACAAGTTCTATGAATTTTTTATTCTCACTTTCTTTGATGGGTCTTACGTTCTGTATTGTATTGATAATAGCGTCAGCAACTTTAGCTGGGTCTCCATATTTCTCATCTAGTCGTTTCCACATCTCCTGGATGTCGTCATCTATGCTTTTCACTGTGTCATTCGCTTCCTTTCCCAGGCAAGATCGTAGAATGTAGCACGCGCTTTCTTTATTCACCATAGGCATGACTTGTTTCTGAAAGTCCTGCTTGAATTGAGGATATTGTCTTATTGTTCCGTCAAAAAATGGCATCTTGACTTTCTCCAAGCGAAGAGGGGAGCTTTGTTTAGTTTTCTTTTCGTCCTCTATCGTAGCAGTGAAAGTTTCAATTCTTTCAATTGTTTCGTTATAGCGCGTTTGAATTTTTCGAATCCATTCGATTTCATTTTCGGCAGATGTTCCATTCGATATCTCGATATCTCGAGCATTTTGGCGTGCGCGCTCTTGCAGTCTGTCAGTGCGAGTTCTATATCCTTTTCAGTTTTGCGCAAAGCCATCAGTGATCTGATTCAATTATGTTTTTAACATGTTCAATTAAAGATTCAAAGATTGCTTCCGTGGATTTTTTCTTCATAATTGTCTGTTGAACAATCCTTTGAAATTCTTCTTCTCTTAATGTAATTATATGTTGGCGGTTCAATTCTTCTTGTTCCTTCAGTTTAAGAGCTTTTCTTTCATTGTCATACTTAATATATACCGTCGATGCTTCGTTGTATTCTTCTTGTAATTCTTCAATCCATTTTTCATTTGCCGTAATTTCTTCCTCGTTGAGGTACATTAGGTAAATATCGTGCTTACCTTCAACAGTAGACTAAGCATTGGTAAGCTCGCGTAGATCCGATTTTTTTCGAGATGCATTCACAAAATGTGCTCATATAAGGAAGTTCCTGGATATATAAGGTCCGGAGCTCCACTGTGGACACAAAAACAACATATCTTTGGACAGTGATTTGCCCAAAAAAATTAACGCTTGCCCACAGTGTGTTTGAAGTCACTGAACTTTGTCGCACTCGAGCTGATATTTTAAAACCCTCGCTCGATAGGACACTCGTAGTTTCGCAGATCACTAAAATGTAAACAAAATCCTCAATGTAGAAGTTATAGCGTTACCTTTATGTAGGCAGAAAAAAGGTCAATCTTTATCTAGGAAAATCTTCCCAAAAATCGGTTTCAAAGCAACTATAGTTTTTTTAAAAACTTGCTCATTTCGCGCAGATATATAAATTTTGCTTTGTGTTGTCAAGTTGAACACACATAACATCTGTCAAAAACCTACGCGTAAGTAGGATTTCCTTCAAACAAAGTTAGTTACATTATTTCAAAAACTTCTTGCTGACAATGAAGAAATGAATTTACTGTACTAAAACAACCTACCTAAAGACCTTAAAAGCAAAAGATCAGTTGCAACTTGGCAGCCAAGCCATGATTCACCATTTAGCTATTTTAAGCTTATAAACTGGTCCATGCGAGGGTCTTCGTTTAAGCAAATTAAACTCAGCCGATCATTAAAAATACAGAAAATTGCATATAAGGGTTTGTTTTGCTCGCCTCAGTCAAATCCAGCTGCAGCCGTTGTTTACGGGAAAAGAGCCAATTGTTTTGAAGTCACTGCCGGCAGTTGTCGTTCTCTACTTCACAGCGAGTGAAAAGGACAATTTGCGTACAGAAAGTTATTCTTAAAAAGAACAGAAACTTGTACAGTGCACTGGAAAACAAAACAATGTAATGAAAAATGAAAAAAACTCTGACTACTAGTACTTGAGCAACAGAAAAATGATCCTGAGTAAGCTTGCTGGCCTTCTATTTCCGAGAAAGTTTAATAAGCGCACAAGTTTGTTCACTCTGATGCGTTATAACAGCAATATGGTTCTTTGACTGACGACAAAGATAAAGCTGGTTCTGCAAAGGTAATAAATCTGGGCGTGTAAAAAAAGTAACCGTAACTACTAATAACAGAATACAAGCGGGTTTTAATTCAACCCGGAGAAATCAACTCATAAATTAATCGGATGCACAATTAGAAAAAATACTCGCCTACTACTGACAGAATGATCCATTTTTCCTTTAACATTGGTTGTTCTGAATCCAAAGTAATTTTCAAGCGACGAAAAAAAGCAAACATGTCAAATAAAAATGCTTTACAGGGAGCAAACGTTCGCACCAGGTCGCATCTCGTGCATTTCACTCAGAACTCCAGCAACAAACCGACACAGTCAACACACAGAAAAGCCCGCCTTGAGCCTGCGGTAAGGGATGCGCAGAAGCTTGCGCAGAACGTTTTTCCGCCCTGAATACCCATAGATTATGGTCAACCTCTTTTCCTTTGGTTGTCACGTGATTGACCGAGCGTACGCGTCTACAGATTGTACGGGTGGGGTAGGGGAGACTATCAAAAGGAAGGGAGGGGTGTCTCAGGCGTGTCTTGCCAAGTCCACATCTTTTACATTGGACATTCACAATATGGTCAATTGACAGCTGTCAAAACAGGATAGCCACTGACCATTATCCCATAACCATATCGCAGGCTCATGTGTCAACTCATTGAGGTGACGTGATATATTTGGAAGCTGTCCGCTGACCAGTTAATTATTTTACTAGATCGCGATCAATGTTCAGTCTCATACTTTCTAGCTAGTTTGGGATCGGAGCACAGGAAAACTGATACACGTCAATGTTGTGATCCATTGACAGCTGTCAAAACAAGGTATCCGCTGACCAGGATCACTTGACTGTATTGCGGGCTCAGGTGTCGACCCATCGAGGTCAAGTGTTTTTTTTGGAAGTTATCCGCTGACAAGGTAGTGGTTTTCAAATGATCGCAGGCTCAAGTTTAATGTTTTTTTAAAATTCATATGAAATATGTTGTGTTTATGTGCCGCACAATTAAAATTTTGATTTCAAACTGACCTCGGACGCGAAACTTAAGCCAGCTGCTACAGGCAGGGAAGACAGTTGCTTTTGACTTTTCTCGCCATGTTCACGCGTTGGTCACGCTCTACGTCCAATTTTTATGCTCTGATTGGTCAAAATTTGACAGGTGAGTTCATGCGGGAAATTTATCCAGCATCTTGAATCTTGTTTACTTTGACAGGTGAAGCTGACAGAGTTTTGTGTCAACTTGTGATGTTTTTAACTTTCTTTTTCCACTGGATGTACAAAATGAAATTCAGCTGCTATTAGGAGTCTTCTGTTATTCATGGCTAGTTTGTTTATTGGGTTTTTGGTTGAGTCAAAGTCGGAAATCCGATTTCGGATGGCATCGTTTTCGTTTTCGTCTTGCTTAATGCGTAAGAGGGTTGCAAAGTCTGAAGCGATACTCGCCTTACTTGATACCTTTCAGGAGCTGCATCTCGAGTGGTAAGCCTAAGTAATTATTGTATTTGATGTTTGTTTTTTATTCCTAATTTAATGAAGTCGAGCGTAGTTTATGCGGCTATTTTGTTTACGCACGTTTGTAAGATTTGAGACAATGATCTGACCGAGTATCAGGTTTGTTATAAGCTTACAGATCTTTAAAAAGCCTTTAGACATTTTCTCACCGCAAATAGAAAGAAAACGTTTCAAAGAATATTTAGTTATAATTCTGGCTGTAAAAGAAAGGTTTGAGCGATTTTCTTGCCTCGAGTTCGTCTTTGAAAAAAGCAAACACCGGGAAGCCAGCTTAAAACATAAACTTCAGCTTTAAGCTCGAAGACTCAGGATTTTTAGAGACACTTTAATACTTGTCTTCCTGAGTGAAAATTGTCGTCTCTGTATATGTTTCACCGAATTATATTTCTTTTATTGATTGTTAGTACTCTCTCTTGTAATTTAATCGTTGTGCCGATTGTTTTCAGTCGTTCAGTAAACAACGCTTCCCGGTGTACTCAAAATGACGCGCGTTAAACCGTTTTAAAATAAAAAATAAACATAATAAATTCTTTATTATATTGGAGCGTAACTCTGTTAATGTTCATTCAAACACTCGCCACTGCTGGCACTGTAAAAGTCAGAAACGGCTGGCCGTATAGATGATTTTGAAAAGTTTTTCAACGGTTTACGACTAAAGCCCACGCGTGCTTCGATCGTCCTGAATAGCAATTTGTATCGCAATATTGTGAAATACTGCATTCTGTTGACTGAGGTCCGTATGATAAAAACAGTGCCTCATAGTACTGTTTCACCTCAGATGTGATGTATAAATGATAATATATAGATTTAGCCAGGGCTAAAAGCGAAGCTCCCATTAATAAATTTATAATTTAAATCAAACAATAAACTTGTAATCCACAAATCAGTTAACTTAAGGGCACATATGTGACTTTTTAGGGAAAGCTAAGGCTAAGTGATTTTAGAGTGAAAAAAAATCTTACATCGAATTGATAGCCGTATATATACGCCCAAAAAATAGCAATCATCTTCGATCACATTTAAGAGCCATAATGGCTCTTGATCACAGTAGATTAGGCCTGGAAAACGAATTTTTGGAAAACAAATCAGGCCGAATTTTTTGCGTTCGACAAGTTTACTTAACAAAATCTTGCCAACAACTCTGGGAGCGTGTAAACCAACATTTCATACTTTTTATACATCACAACTGAGGTGAAACAGTAATATGAGGCGTTGTTTTTATCATACAGACCTCAGACAAAATGCAGTATTTCACAATTTTTCAAGACAAATTGCACTCATTCAATATTCAGAACTGTACGAAGCACGCGTGGGCTTTTAGCAAAACCGTTCAAAAAACTTCCAAAATCACCTATACGGCCAGCCGGTTCTCACTTTTGACAAGCGCCAAATTTTCAGTGAACATTAAAAGAGTTACGCTTCAACATAATAAAGAATTTACTGTGTTTATTTTTTTTATTAAATGGTTTTATAACGATGTGTAATCTTAAAAAGCGTTTGATACGCGCGGCATTTTGAGTACTCCTGCAAGCGTTGTTTATGAACGACTGAAAACAAACGGCAAAGCGATTAAAATTGTAAGAGACTACTAACAATCAATAAAAGAAATGTAATTCGGTGAAACATTTACAGAGACAACAATTTTCATTCACGACGACAAGTATTAAAGCGTCTCTAAAAATCCTGAGTCTTTGAGCTTAAGCTTAAAGCTTTTAGCCGGCTTCCTGGTGTTTACTGTTTTCAAAGATGAACTCCAGGCAAGAAAATCGCTCAAAGCTTTCTTTCTACAGTCAAAACTATAACTAAATACTCTTCGGAACGTTTTTTCGTTCTATATGCGGAGAGAAAATATCGACTAAAGGCTTTTTAAAGTTCTGTAAGCTTATATATACTAGATCAGATCATTGTCTCAGATCTTAATACAAACGTGCATAAATCAGCCTCATAAACTGCGCTCGACTTCATGAAATTAGACATTAAAAAACAAACATACACTGTATACAATAATTACTGAGGCTTACCATTCGAGATGCAGCTCTTGAAAGCTATAAAGTAAGGCCACAATCGCTTGAGGGACTTTTCAACCCGCATCCAGCAAGGTGAAAAACGAAAGCGATGCATCCGAAATCGGATTTCCAACTATGGCAACCGGCGCATTTCCCAACCAAAAATTCAATAAACAAACCAGCCATGAATCAAAGAAGACTGTTGATAGCAGCTGTATTTCATTTTAAGCATCCAGTGGAAAAAGACAGTAAAAAACATCACAAGTTGACAAAATACTCTGTCAGCTTCAGCTGTCAAACTGAAAGTAAACAAGGTTCAAGATGCTGTATTTAAATTTTCTGCATGAACTCACCTGTCAAATTTTGACCAATCAGAGCATAAAAATTGGACGGTCGTAGAGCGTAATCAACGCGTGACAATGGTGAGAAAAGTGAAAAGCCTCTGTCTTCCCTGCTTGTTTTTTTAAATGACTGGCTGAATTTTCGAGTCCGAGATCAGTTTGAAATCAAAATGTTAATAGCGCGGGGCCACAGTGACATTAACACAACACTTTCTATCATCATGTCATTATTTTGCTGCCGTTCTCTTTGCCTTTGTATTTCTCTTTCGCGTTGCCTTTGTCTGTTCATTCTAGCTCTGTCTCGTTCTGCTTGCCGGCGTTTTTCACTCTAATTTTCTCTCCTTCTTCTCGCTCTGACTCTTTCTACTTGCTTTCTTTTTTTCAAAACCAGTTGCGCGATATAATTGCGCGACGTTGCGCCATGCGATTTCCCGCCAAAAAATCTCTACTTTCCCCTACCCCAGGAGTCCATGCGGACTACTTTCCACTACCCGGAAAGTCCGTACGGACGGACGTACGCTGACGTCATAACCAAAATTTTTCGGATGGATAGTTTACCAAATTATCTTAGTTATGGTGCTCCGCTCGCGTGCGCTTCGCGCGCGCAAGGAGCTCCGCTATAAAAGGTTGGTTTACACGCACCGAGATTTGTTGGCAAGATTTTGTAAAATAAACTTGTCGAACGCAAAAAATTCGGCCGGAATTTTTTTTCCACGCCTAATTAATCTACGGTGATCAAGAGCCATTACGGCTCTTAATAAATGTGATCGAAGATGATTGTCAGTTTTTGGGTGTACTTATGAGGCTATCAACTCGATGCGAGATTTGGTTCACTCTTGGGCTGTTTGAAAAGTCACACGAATGTGCTCTAAAGTTAACTGAATTGTGGAATACAAGTTTATTGTTTGATTTAAATTATAAATTTATTAATGGGAGCCTCGCTTTTAGCCCTGGCTAAATCTATATATTACGAATATCAAAGGCTCTCCACTTAAGGTAAAATCGTTTGGAAATGCTGCAACATATCAAAAACTCCGGGGAGGGGTTTCATCCACCACCCCCGCCCCCCGCCTTTGTACCACGGTGGGGGTTTGAATTTGCGTGTGCGTCGGAGGGTTAACATTAAGACGATCCAGGTCTTTACTAAAATAAAATTACCTTTGCAGTCAACTCCGTTCCCAGAATACCCTGGCTTGCAAGTACAATTGAAAGATCCTTCAGTGTTATTGCAGTCTTTTTCATTAGCATCACAGTTGTGTTCTCCTGTCATACACTCGTTTACGTCTGCAAATCAGGTGTAGGACTGAATCATTAAAACTGATTTACTTAACCTTTCATTTTCTAGGATTGGGTACCGTCAGAAGAGAGAGCTTTCTGGCTTTACTGAGAAGCAAAAAGATTGTTGCTATATATTGAGCCGGTTAGAAATGAAGAAATAACATCAAATGTATAGATAGAGGATTAGCAAAACCTAAGGAGGCAAAATACTGGAGAATGCAGAAGGACTTCCCAGCTTAAGAAAAACTACCAACAGGGTACGGTCGGAGGAGAGAGAGGGCTTTCTAGCTATACTGATAATCAAAAAGATTATTGCTAAATATTGGGGCCCTGAGAAATGAACAAATAACATCACATGTGTAGATAGAGGATTAGAGAAACCTAAAGAAGCAAGATACTGGAGAATGGAGAACGACTTCCCAACGGAAGAAAAACTGCCAACAGAAGGAGGAATAAAAAAAGACACATTACCGCTAAAACTCTGAAACTCTGGTGGTGAGGAACAAAAGACGGAATTGTGTACCGACACTGATCTGATTTTAAATGCAGAAAGCTCACCCAGCATGAATGCGTGTGCGGACATCACAATCTTGCATGGGGACAATTACAATACATTAAAAAACTTAAAGATCTCAAACATGTTAATTTTAAGGCTAAGACTGCATACAGATACTGCAAATCACAAACTATAGCAGTATGCAAGGGCATTTCGATACTTATCATTCAGCTTAAAAGAACAAACTGAGCCTCTAGGTACTAAGCAGCTTACTACCTTGTGGCTGAACTTGGGTTTAATGCAAGATAAATGGATCTCATTAAGAAAATATTATGAAGAAGACCGACGCTCTGTTTTCACCTGCACAGTTAACTCCATCCCCAGAATACCCTGGCTTGCAGGTGCATACAAAGGATCCTTCAGTGTTTTTGCAAATAGCGTTTGCATGACAGTTGTGCTTTCCTGCTTCACACTCATTTATATCTGCAATTAAGAAGTCAAGCACTGAATAAACTGATCTAGTTTTTCTTTCACGGTAGATAACTGTGGGTTACCATAATAGCCATTTTATGCGATCAATATTTTAATATCCAAAAAGTCTTATTTTCAAAACGAGGTCTTTCTTACTCCTTTCTCCTATGAAATTAATTTTCTAATCAAAAGGCTTCGCACCTCGGCTCATTTTAAGACAGAAGCTCGAGTGAAGTCGAAAATGGCTTATTGGAATTACGATAAAATACCCGCCTTATTATACAGGAAATTAATGCTCTATGATACTCAAAGGTAGTATGGAAATTAACGCGACTTACATTGAGGCAACTTTGGTGGAAAACGACTTTCGAACAAAGGAACTTGATATGAAAGACACGTGGCTACGAAGTCTCTGACCCTTTCATTTAAGGGATCTTGAAGTGTTACCTGTACATTTATCTTCTCCATTTTTAGAATAACCTTCCCTGCAAGGGCAGTCGAAGGATCCTTTAGTGTTATAGCACCATCTAGTGACGTCACAGTTGTGTTTTCCTGTTTCACACTCGTCTATATCTGGAAATAAAGAGATAATGCTGAGTTATCAAACTGAATCAGTTCGATTTTTATGTCTATTGAAAGAGGGATCAGTAGTAATGCAATGCTTTCGAGTAGTAGAAATAGTCCACGAACGAATAAATCTATTTCCAAAATAAAGCAATTTCAAGGAACACTAATTCAATTCATGCCACTTATAACAACGGTAAAATGCCAGAAAAAATCAGTGACAAATGATTATTCAAAGTTTTACATGTTGCAAGTTATATCTTTTATGACGAATGAGCCCGCAAAGAATAAGAAACAATTACTTTGACGGCACGAGAAACAGCAGGGCCTGGGTGTTAGGCCAGGGGCACCATGGGTAGCCATACCTGTGGTATTACATATCACGTGTGCTTCATCTAGGCTTCTGAACCAACCTTCCTTCGGTTTTCTCATTTTTTTTTTTGGGGGACTTATTTTAGGAGCTGCCTATTTCGATTAACTTGTAAAGTCCTTGGTTCCTATTAACATTTCCTACACTCATTCTTTTCCCTTGAGAGATGTTTGGGCAGTTTTTTTATTTTTATTTTTTATTTATTTATTTTTTCTGGCCTCTGTCTGACCGCATTCAATTCTGTTGGTAGCTCAACTCTGCTAGTTTTCAGAATTGTATCCTATTTTATACATTTGTACGGTTAGCCCCGTTTTGCACCTGTTCCTTAAGTTATGTATTTAGTCTCAATGTACGCTTAGGTCAAATTGGCAATGTTACAGACCTCCAGCCAGGGTCATTATCCATCTCTTTGCCTTGAATGTTGTGCCCGAACCGTTTCTAGCAGCAGTTAGTTATTAGTGATGATGATTCGGTACGCTATATCCAAAATGGATCCCAAGTGTTTCTGTCTCTAAGCCTTTGTGCTCCTACAGTGTTCCTGTCTCAGACGTCTGTTGGTCAGAGTTTTTGTTTCCCCAGCCTGACTGGCACTAAGCCTGTGAGCTTAATTGGGGATGCAGTTCGAGCTCGACCAGTTGTAGCATTTATTATTCATTATTTTTTTTATGAAAGCAAGAATACATGTGTTGCAATTAGTTATTTGTCTTTGTCCATATTATGTTACCTGCACAGTTGACACCATCCCCAGTGTATCCTGTTTTGCAAGTACACGTGAAGGAACGCTTGGTGTTGATACAGTACGCATCATCGTGGCAGTTATGTAGTCCTGCTTTACACTCGTCTACAAATTAGCAAGTAGAGGTTAGTTACAAGAATTCCCTTTTCAACAGTTATTTTGATCATTTATTTTGCCTTTTTTTGAGCTCAAACAACTGATATCATGATCTCTTGGTTAACACTGATTCAGAAAACGTTGGTCTCAATACTCCAATCAAGAAATGTTGCATCACTCAAGGGCCTGTTGAGTACCGTGTTGCTAGGCTACGCGGTTGCTATGCATTCGGTTTTAACACTTCGCGCATTTAGCATTTTGGACTGCCCCCTTCCGCGCGAGATAATTTTTCGCGCCACGAGCGGTATTGCTTCCTTTTCGTTTACGCTAACGTTTAGTCTGAGCTTTACTGTTACTAGTCGACAAGTTTTACTTTCATAGCTAAGTTCTGCTTTTGTTAACGCCTAACGAGAGACAAAAAAATTATCCTGCTTGCGAGAACCCGAAATACTTCATGAGCCAAGAACCCAAAAACATGTAACTACGTAGCACCCCAAATTTAAAGATTGGGGTGTGCTAAATCCTAATTAGACTGTCTCCAGACATAAGAATTGAGCATCAACTAGAGAATTAGGAGTTTTATGAGGGAATGGGCTAGGGGAAATTTTGTTCCTTAAATTATTTAACATTGAAACATGGGCGAGAGTATAACGGCTCAGAAGCAACCGTTGCCATGGCAACTCACCATAAACTTCTAAACATACATGTGGAAGGACGCGTTCGATTGGGAAATCTGGATTTGGATTTGGATTTTTGAAATTCGGATCAAAGGCCGAGAAATCTGAAAACCTATTTCAACGCTGATAAACCTGTCCTTGGATTCCCCATTTTTTAGGACGCGGGGAGGTTTGCGGACATACGTTTTCAACAACAGCTGTCTCGCAAGCACACGCATAACAAGCAGGAAAAAAGAAAACACTGTTTACTAGAACAGTTTTACAAATCCTTTTTCTCTTTTCCTGAAGTTCCTAATAGGACGGTAATAAAGGAAATGCATAAAATCCTGATTTGGATTCATTTATTGAAGCCAACCTCTTGGACGGATTTCTCGGGGGGTGGGGATGAACTCCGCTTTGAGTTTCGCGTTCGTTTGCAAAATCGAAAATCACTATTTCTCATGCAATCAAACGCACCCTAAGTTTCAATTGTCACCATGAATTGTATATCTTTTTTAAAAGAAAAATCAATGACAAAAAAGCTAACACGAAGTTTCGATGACTCCATGTCATCATTATCAAATGCGCAGAAAATTAACATGAATTGGTGATATATATACAGAAAAAAGAAAATGTCAGGAATATATATGTTAAAGATTTCTTCTTGCGGGAATGTAAAACCTTGAAAGGGATATTCTTGAAATTAAAATATCCGAAAAAGCTCATCGAATCGGCCATTAACAGTGCCCAACACCCCCGAGACCTGAACCACACGCCCACTGACAGCCCCCTTCGGATTACCTTGCCTATAAGGATCAGAAATCTGCCCACCAACTTTGGAGACAGTTATGCGACCTCGGAAGGAAGATCAATCACCCTTTGCAGCCAATCTTTACAAACAAAACGATCATCGATGATCTACGAGAAACGGAATTAAAACCTACGCTAGTGAACAAGCAAAATGTTGTTTATAAATTCAAATGTTATTTGTGCGATGCAAATTATATCGGTTACACGTGCCGTCACCTCCATCAACGTGTAGAGGAACACAAACATTCCGTTAAGTGTGTACTTATATAAAAGCATACATGTACGTTTCGATGTATTATGCATTACTGGCAAGCATTTCTTGGAAAAACACAACTTAACACGGATGAATCTTAGCAAAATCTTTACGGTCCTCAATAAATGACGAGGGAAGCTTGAGTGTTTGATTTTCGAAATGCTTATCATCAGAAACAAAAGACCTACATTAAACACTCAAGCGGACTCCATCCGGGCGAAACTTTTTATTTAATTGTTAGCTTGCTCCATTTTCACGCCTCAATTTAACTTTACATATTCCTGACACTTTCTTTTTTCTGTACATATATCACCAATTCATGATAATTTTCTTCGCATTTGACAATGGTGACATGGAGGCATCGAAACGTCGTGTTACCTTTG